AGCATATTAAAAAGCAGAGACATTACTTTGCTAGCAAAGGTCTGTCTAGTCAAAGCTATGGTTTTTCCAGTAGTCATGTATGGATGTGTGAGTTGGACCATAAAGAAAGCTGAGTGCCGAAGAATTGATGCTTTTGAACTGTGGTGTAGGAGAAGACTCTTTTGAGTCCCTTGGATTGCAAGGACATAAAACCAGTCCATCCTAAAGGAAATCAGTCCTGAATATTCATTGGAAGCACTGATGCTGAAGCTGAAACTCCAATACTTTGGCCCCCTGATGCAAAGAACTGACTCATTTGAAAAGACTCTGATTGTGGGGAAAGATTGAAGGCAGAAAGAGAAGGGGATGACTGAGGACAAGATAGTTGTATGGCATCACCGATTCAATGGACATTAGCTTGAGCAAACTCCAGGAGATGGGGAAGGACAGGGAAGCCTTGTATGCTGAAGTCCATGGGGTTGTAAAGAGTCGGACACAACTGAGTAATTGAAGAACAATGCCGGTATAAAATAGATAATGAGATAATGAGAACCTACTGTATTGCACAGGGACCGATACTCAATTCTGTGTAGTGAGCTAAACTGGAAGGACATCCAAAAAAGAGGGGATGTAGGTAAACGTAGAGCTGATTCACTTTGCTGTACATCAGAAACTAACACAGCATCGTAAAGCAACTCACTCCAGTAAGAAGAAATTAACCCTGTTACTAATTTAGGAGGAAACATTAATTAATTGATGTAAGTATGCTTACCATGGGCTCTGGTATCTGTGGCTTAGTTTGTGAATAGCAGCGTGACTGAAGTCTTCATACTGTAAAAAGAAGAAAAATCAATGGGCATAAACATGTCTGAGAGTCTGGGTTCCTAGTCAAAGAGGAGGTCAGGTGGAGCAATTAAACAAGAAATGCTAAATTCAGTTGAGGAAAGATGGCCTTTTGATTCTTGAACTGAGAAGAAAAGGTACAAGAAGTAAAATAAATCTGACCCTCTGTGCTTTCCCTGCCCTCTCTATAAAAGGACAGGTGTTGGGTCTGCAGAAAGTGTCATCTGCAATCTCGAAACATCTCATGATCCTGTATCTACATGAGCAGGCACTCAAAACCAGGACTTACCATTTATTTTTTATTTTTCATAGTGGGTCCTTGTTGGTTACCAATCTTAAATAGTGCACTGTGTACATATCCATCCCAACTCCTTAACGATCCCTTCCCCCCAACAACTATAACATGACATTATTTAGGCTCAGCTTAGCTTTTTTCGCATCACCTTACCCTCATGTGAAAAGATGCTCAACAGCACTAATTATTAGAGAAATGCAAATCCAAACTACTACGAGGTATCACCTCACACTGGTCAGAATGGTCATCGTCAAAAAGTCTACAAATAGTAAGTGCTGGAGAAGATGTAGAAAAAAGGTATCTTCTTACACTGTTGGTTGGAATGTGAAGTGGTGCAGCTGCTATGGAAAACAGTGTGGAGGTTCCTTAAAAACCTAAAAATACAACTACCATATGATCCAGCAATCTGACTCCTGGGCAGATATCTGAAGAAAATTATAATTTGAAAAGATATGTGCACTCCAATGTTCATTACAGCATAATTTACAATAGACAAGTTATGGAGCATCTTAACAGCATCATCTACAGGTGAATGGTTAAAGATGTGGGATATATATACAGTGGGCTATTACTCAGCCATAAAAAGAATGAAATACTGCCATTTGTAGCAACATAAACAGACTCAGAGATTATCACATTGAGTGTAATAAATCAGACAAAGGCAAATATCATTTGATATCACATGTGCAATCCAAAAAATTTATACAAATGAACTTATTTACAAAACAGAAACAGACTCACAGATATAGAAAACATACTCATGGTTATTACCAAAGGAAATGGAAGAGTGGAGGAAAAATTAGGAGCTTGGGATTAACTGATACAAACTTCTTTATATAAAATAGATAACAGACAAGGACCTACTGTATAGAACAAGGACCTATACTCAATACCTTGTAATAACCTACAATGGAAGATAAGCTGAAAGAGAATCTATCATCTATCTGTTTGAACCACTTTGCTACACACCAGAAACTAACACAACACTGTAAATGAACCTCAAATACATCAATAAAAAAGAAAAAAGGGGGAAAAGTAGCAAAATCATACCATAATGTTAACCTTAGATAAGTCACGTGGTACTCTTTTTTATCTCCCCCATTTTCTTCCCTTTTCCTCAAGCTTTGCTTTATAATGCCTTTCCTGATCAAGGGTTGTATTGGGAAAGCAGATCTACTTAAGTCATTTCTCAGTGATGAAGATCTGAAAACTTGATCACTTCTAGATCTTTAATGTCCATGTGTAAAATAATAAACAAAGGAAGGGACAAAATAAACAAGACTTAAATGCAAGGCTAAGCCACTATTCCAAAAGTTTGAAAAGTGATACTCTGTGTTTAGGACTTTCCTGGTAGCTCAGTGATAAAGAATCCTCTTGTCAATGCAGGAGATGTAGGTTTGATACCAGGTTGGAAAGATGCCCTGGAGAGGGAAATGGCAACCCACTCCAGTATTGTTGCCTGGAAAATCCCATGGACAGAGGAGCCTGGCAGGGTACAGTTCATGGGGTTGCAAAGAGTCAGACATGACTGCTTAGCAACTACATAACAACAATCTGTCTGTAATGGTGAAATCTTTGTTTTTCAACTGATTTCTTTTTTAACTTTTTATTTTATATCGAGGTATAGCCAATTAACAATGTTGTGATAGTTTCAAGGGGACAGCAAAGGGACTCAGCCATAAATATACATGTATCCATTCTCCCCCAAACTCCTGAGTCTCAACTGATTCCTGACACCTATTCCCTGAATATCAATCTTATCAACTGACTTACAAATAATTTTATCAGTTTATGGGCAAATTTTCCAGGGCTGGGATAATCTTTGATTTTTGTTCTCATTTTTAATAACCCAAACTTTTACTGGTTTAATCTGGAAAGGTTTTCCTTAGAAACACATAATGCATTCATTAGCCTCTAACCCTACCCTATTTCTCCTATAGTTATCAGCACATAATGTCATAGAAATTTATCTAAAATAAGCTGACCCTTCTCTGTCTTTTTTCTTTTTTTTCTTCTCTGTCTTAATTAATGAGATTCATCATGATTTATTTGTACAGTTGTGCTCATTTTGTTGTTAAAGCTAATGAAATTCAGAATAAAAAAAAATTTTTTTTTACTGGTCAGTTATTCATAAAAGTGAAGCAAAGACTGATTCAAAAACGAATTCAGCACCTTCATAGAAACAGGTAACAACTGAGTAGTATATGTTGTATGCTAAGGAGATCAGTAAGAATCTTTGCAGTTATTTTGCATGCTTTCAGCTAGCAAAAATAGTTATAACTTGAAATTGGATATTCCCTATTAAGCAATCTTTAAATAAGTCTAGGTATTAAAGAAAAAGAAATATCTGCTAATTACATTTAGATACTGTGAATTAGGCACAATTTCTCAAATGAGCTATTAAATTTAAGTGAAATTAATTACAGACATTGGGGTCCATTCTAATTAATAATGAAAATCATTGCTTAATATTTTTACTTTTAATCACAAACCACCTCTCCTCTAGAAGTGACATTACTGAGGAATCCTCTTAGTTTCTTGCCAGGCTTAACTCAGGGTGTTTTTCCTAATACAACCAGTTATGACTTTTCTTACTAGAAAGGACCATTTCCCATCTCGGTAACTAGGAGGACTTTCTCTTCAGTAGGATGAGTACAATGGCCATGCATTTCAAGAACAGCGTAACACTAGGGTTTCTCTTGCCATCCTCCTCCTTGGTAACATAGAGCTCTTATACCAAACAGTGGAGTGGAAAATCCCCTAAGCCTACCTTTTCTTATGCTAATGTAATTTTTTCTTCACTTGCCTCCATTTGCAAAATATTACTGTTAACCCCTTAGCTGCCTTTCTTCCCACAGCCAGGGAGAAGCATTCTCATTGTTGGTGCCTGGTCACCAAATTGCATAATGCTGCCTATTCTCAACTGGAACTATTGAAGGAAGAAAGGGGGCATCGAGCCTTTGTGTGGATAGAGCATTTGAAGCATTCATTTTACATTCAGAGCAGGGGTAGAAACAAAACAGTTCTCCCTGAAAAATGTCAGTGTTTAAGGCATGGATTCTGAGATGCATTTTTCTTACTAAAAAGCAAAAAGAACAACAATGCAGAGGCCCATAATTCATTTCATGCTAAAGACTATGGAGGCTTGAGCTGAGTACCAATTTGAATTATATCCTGATCTCTCCTTTTTTTATTGAACTGTTTTTAAATAATTTGAATTAGTTCATCAAATTTTAGCAAACAGACTAAACATTAAGTTTCCTGTGTTCCTTGACTCTGACCATAGTTATGTGTTTTCTATAGAGTATCCAAATAATGAGAAACATATTCCATTATGTTTCTAAAGTGCTTACCATAATATAATTTTAAAATTCATGTAGGTAAGAAAACATAGTATAGTGAGGCATTAATAATACCAGATCATACTTCTTTAGACTTATTGTACTAGATACTATGCTAAGTGCTTTACACATTTATCTCACCTAATCCATTTGACAATACTCTAAGATTATAATGATATTACATAACATTATTTTCCCTGTGGAAGGCAGAATTCTAAAGACCCTCAAGATTCTCACTCCCTTGTACATATACCTTCTTCCAGATACTCAGCCAAATACTAACCTAGGTACTGCTGTGAAGGGATTTTAAGGTATAATTAAGATTCCAAATCAACTGACTATAAGAAAGGAAGTTTCTCCTTGGTGGCCCTAACTTCATCATTCAAGCTCTTTAAAGGACCTGGGCTCCTCTGGGTAAAGGGCATTTGAAATGTGTGAAGGATTTGGACATGAGGGAGAGTGTCTGTTACTGGCATTAAAGATAGAGGGGACCATCGACAAAGGGATGTGGGCAGCTTCTTGATGTTGAGACTGGTCCCTGCCTGACAGCTGCAGAGAAATAGGACCTCAGTCCTATAGCCACAAGGAACTGAAATCTGCCACAAACAAATGCACTTGGAAGAGCCCCCAAACCTCAGATTGGATCATTTTTACAACTGACACTTTGAAATTCAGCTTAGTGAGTTCTGAGCAGAGAATCAAGCCTAGATTTCCCTGAACTTCTCATCTACTTCTGATCTATGATTTGCTTCTGTGAGCAAATAAATGGTGTTGCTTTAAGATGTTAGTTTTTACTGCAGCACACCAGGCTTCCCTGTCCTTCATTATCTCCTGGAGTTTGCTCAAATTCATGTCCATTGAGTCAGTGATGCCCTCCAACCGTATCATCCTCCACTATCCTCTTCTCCTCTTGCCCTCAGTCTTTCCCAGCATGAGTCAGCTCTTCACATCAGGTAGCCAAAGTACTAGAGCTTCAGCTTTTAACTTAGTGGCAATAGATTATGCTCAACAGAAAACTAATGCAATGCCCATTTTATCAATGGGAAAACTGAAACATTATAAAGGATAGTGGGCAGATTAGCATGCAAATAGGGGAAAATAAAAAATTCTTCAGCTGGCTCTTTTTCCATATTCAGTTTTTCATTAAGACCACACACATAGATTTGTCTTGAAAAGCATTATAAATGCTAACTGCCTTTTTTATCCTCAGAGAGAAGGCATATTTCTGTTGGTTTTTTTCTGTATTTCTCCGGGGAGATTAATGTTTTCCTTATCCACGTGATAATTCAAGATACATGAGGACTTCTAGCAAGACTAGAACTTATTCTGTTGGGAATTGTTAGGATTTGTGA